ATATATATACAGTGTTTCTGTCCTTTTAATTCAGGTTACAATACAATTTATATGGTTTACAAACCTAGATCGTGCATTTAGCACTGTGACTTAAGGGGGAGTTAGTGAAAGAACTGATAGTAGAGGAATCAACAACAGGTGAACGATTGCAGAGGTTGGAGACGATCTAATGAATTGTACGATGGAGAATAGTGAATCTACTTGTTGGTCATGCATCAACTGAGATCATCAACCTATTTCTACGATGGTCCCAACCTAGCATGCATGGGGTCATCGTGGTGCACTTGATGCGGAAGAACCCTTTAGGAAGAAAGGCTTTAGGAGTCGTAGGACATATGGCCATGGTGAGCCGCTACACAAGAAGCAAACCTAATGATTGGATGAGTTGAGAGACGGTCAATCACAATTAAACTTGGAATGGAAGTTATCTTTTCCTAGGGATAGATTGTGCACATAATTCTTCATGATATCTTCGACTTTGTTGGCTATGAACTTTCCAACTCTATCTTCATATTTATAGAGTATCTTTCACAGTGTCGAGTCAAACGATTCACGGACGATAGTGATAGATCAGAAAAATAAAGCTGGTAGATTGTAGGCCGATGTCTTTTGTGCCACATGAGCGAACAAAATCATAGTTCATCCATAATTCACTAAACATTTATCATTTCTTGTGATAAGGCATAATGATCAAAAGATTTTTAAAAAGCAGCAATTGAGGTTTTGTTACGCTTTCGATAAAGCTACGTTTGTAGAATTTATGTAACACGAGTTGTAATAATATTTTATTTTTTTAATAATAGAAGATTGAAATGAGAGGCGAGAAAATAAAATAATAAAGAGATAACTATTAAACTCGGTTTAGTGAACTCTAATTATGCATGTAAAATAATGCTATCAGGAAAACAAATGTGTGAACTCGCAACACCCGCACATATATGTTTTTTGTGTATGTTCTTTCTCCCGCTTAAGAATGAATATGATTTATTTTAATTTTAATTTTTTTTTGCATTTACCTTTGTAAATTTTTGGTAACCAAAGAGAAGTTTCACACCTTTTGATGCTCCATGTTTTTTCTCCTGCTTTTATTCCTTTTACTGTTGCCCTGAGCCAACATCCTCCCTAGTTAGTCACTTTCTTCTCAGACTACCTTAATAACAGCAACATTCTCCTGCTGCACGGCCCCCCCAAGCTACCACTTGAGTAACTCACCGATTCACTCGCATCATCTCTCTCTCTCTCTCTCTCTCTCTCTAATGGTGTCATGCAACACAGGGACGCAAAAGGAATAATAAAGATAACAAAGAGAGAGAGAGAGAGAGAGAGAGAGATGAGTGTCATTGGTGCACAAAGAGAACTTTTGAGCACTGGCCAGGTTGATAAAGACGGTGGTGGAATTATTAAAGCTGGTAGCACTTCGGATGCGTGGCCGAGGTGGACCACTGGCGGGCACTGCCGACAGGGGGAGGCCCGGGCCACGTGGGCTCGGCAGTCCGGTGGCCGCCGCGGTCCACACGGCCGAGCACCTGTGGACGATCTCGGCGACACATGGCGCGAGGCCGGTGGCGCTAGGCTGGCCGGCTCTCTTGAACCTGAGATATCTTAAGCGGGCTACCTCGTCTTGCAGCTGTTACGGTTGGGAGTTATTAGGGCATGGGTCCCTTCCCCTTCGTCCGCAGGGCACGCTCGCCAACTTGCCCTCCTTGTGCTGTCCATCTCTAATGGCTTCGGAGGCTGAAAGAATTACCACTGTTCAAACGTTTGGGAGGTTTGACGAGCTTTGGATTGGGCACAGCATTAAAGTGGTGTGGGCTGAGATGCCATTTGTCCAGTACCCGTTTGTCTCCTTCTTCGCTGAACTGTTCTTCTCTGTGCTGTCCTTGTTTAGCTTGTCCTCCGTTGAGTCGATGTAAGAGCTGTTCTGCAGACTTATTAGTAAGCTCATATCCAAGAGTTTTTACCTCACTAACTCTGAGGCAGGTCGGTGAAGCCGACGAGTTTGTCGCTGTTAGGAACGTGCTGCCATACGAGCGTGAGAGAGAGAGAGAGAGAGAGAGAGAGAGGTGGCTAATAAATGTGTGGGGATAACCATAGCTAGCACTTGGTGACATGGCGGAGGGAAAGGCCGAGGAGGCAAGAAGCTCGACAGGGGATGGGCCGGCGACCCCACATGCGTTAAAGGAGCAACGACGGCCACTGACAAGACGCGAGCTCTCTGACAGCGATTCGACCATCGTTTCCATGGTCTCAACCTCGCTGCAACCGATCTCATCATCATGCAGATCGCGGCAGTAACATGCACGCATCATAATAGACCAGTCCCCCCACTCCCCCCCTTCATTTCACTGCAATCTTGGCACGGAGAACTGCATGTATTGGGTATCAGGAACATGGATTCAGAGATGCATGCAGCTCTAAGGTGAAGCTTGATTGATTCAGAGAACATGGGGCGACTGGCTAGATTTGATTGATTCATCCAGCACATG